CGCTCGGAACCACCTCTCTCTCTCTTTTGTTGGTGTTATCTCTCTTTGTTGTGTACATATTATACATACATACGCATATATATAGTATATGTATATACACGCGTCTGTATATAATACGTACATAGAAATATCCAAATGTAATTGAACGTCTATTAAGCACTACATACGTGCGTGCGTGCGCTTTGTGTGGATGTAGGTGCATGTGCAGGGGTGCGCGCGCGTGAGATAAATTGTCCCGTGCCGCGATAGTCCTCTTGGTGCCTATCGTTCTCCTCTGCGTGTCTATTACCCACAGTCCAAATGTATTTTTCTACAAGTTTCAGTTTCCTTGCACTGTTTTAGTCGATAAAACGATAAGGAAGGAACGTACTTGTTTGCGAACGGAAGAATACATTTTGACAGAAAGATAAGACAGGGGGTGTCTCAATATTCGTCTGGTTTTCACTCGTTCTCTTACTTTTTTTTCTTTCCCTATCTCTCTTTCTCTTTCTTTTTCTCTCTTCTACACATAGAGATATATTTGATTAGAATGTGAAAAGTGGATTCGCCGTGGTTCCTCTTAAACGTCGCGGACGCACCCTCCTTTTCTCCTTTCTCCCTCCTCCAGCGCATCGACCAACCCCTTTGACCAATTTCTTCCACCTGCTTTCTACGTCACCGACGTCATCGTGGTTCCCTTTTTAAATATAACAAAATGTGTAGGAGATTCTTTTGTTGTCCCCATCCCTTTAAATGGCGTGTCCAGAATTGACAGCACGTTACCGTGGCCATCACCAGTGTCGCCTTTGCCGTCGTCGTTGTCAATGTCGATGACGTCTACTTGGTTGAGAAAACAGACCCTTTTAAAACATGCTGTTTAGTTGAGCAAGTGATTAAACCATTCCAAAAGTCAGACGAAATGATCAAGAGAGATAGGGAAAGAGTCTTGTGCGTGAATAGTGTGTATGAGTGAGTGAGCGAGCAAACGAGTGAGCGAGGAAGCGACCAAACGGGCAAGCGAGATAGAGAGAGAAAAGTAGGACGAACGAGGCTGCGAGGGTTTCTAGTTCCTGGAACGACCGTTCCCATTCTGGGTGCGCGGAGAAGCGGAGGAGTTAAGGAGGAACGATCGAGCAGGGACCGTCTCTTCGTCCGTTCCTCGTGACAGCCGATTCGAGCCGCGTGTTTAGTCGTCTTATTATTTCCGGGGAAATAAAGCAATTACCGTATTATATTGTGATTATTAAATTTACCTATGATCCTTACTCGACGGTACTATCGAAAGTTCGTTTTCCTGCAAAAATCGAGCTTTTTAAGGGTTGCTCAGCAAGTGGAAAAGAGACGTGCGCGCGCGCCCGCGCGCATCTTCGTGCGTGCTATCACGATCCGGGTGTAGTATAGCGCGAGTGCAAGTGAAGTGCGCCCTAACCTTACTTTCTTTTTTCTTTTTCTTTTTTATTTCTCTCCTTTCCCCTTGCCTATCCGTCCTTCTTCTATTTTTTTTTATTTTCTCGACCTAAAAAGGAGACGCGATCGGCGCCTATTTTTCAATGTATATTCCTTTTTTCATTGTTGTAGCTGTAAAAGGAACGACGTATTTGTGTGTTGGGTAAAAAAAGATTAGGTGGTCGGTATAAGTGTGATAACTGTGGTCAAAGAAGAATCAATCGAGGGAGGAGGATAGTAGTACGTAGTGTGTAAGAATACGACAAGAAGGAAGAAAAGCAGAAGAAGAAGAAGAAGAAGAAGAAGAAGAAGAAGTTGAGGAAATAGTTTCTCGTACGGGGGTGTGTCCATGAAGTCTCAAGAGTCGAGTTCGTTGTTAGGCTCGTTACGGTGGTGGTGGTGCTCGCAATTGTGCCGGCACCGGCCGTGATCATCGTTGACGACGAGGACGAAGACGACGAAGAGGAGAAGAAGAAGGAAGAGAGGCGGGAGGAGGAGGAGGAGGAGAGAAGCGTGCGAGTAGTCGTAGCGGAGAGGAAGAGGAGGTGTTGGTGGTGGTGGAGGCGGCGGAAGAGTTGGTGGAGCAAGAGGGGGAGGAGGAGGAGGGCGCATAGCCTCGCGTGCAGGATGCAGCATGAACCTCGGTGTCCCGTATCGGGAGCTCGCGAGCCTCGGCAGGGGGACTACGAGGACGGCGTTCGTGCGCTTTCGCCGCTCGAGAACTCCCGTCGTCAGAGTCGTCGTTGTTCGACGTTCCCCCACGCTCGACGTTTGTACGAAGAGACTCGGTCGACCCGGTGGCACGTTCACGCGAGCGAACAGCTACAGGGAGAAAAGGAAGAGAAGAAGAAGGACGGGAAGTCGGAGGAGAAGGAAGTGGAGAAGAAAGAAGACGAGAAAAGTGGTGCTTCGAGGACGACGATCTCGGTGTTTGGCCAGGTGGCGTGCCAGAAGGAAGAGACGAAAGGGGTTATCGAGAAACGACGACGTATCATCATCCACGATCATCCTGCCTTCTTCCCGCCTTTATCAGCCTTACAAGAATCAGTCGTCGTTTTCATCACGACAATTGCTGCCGCGGCACTCGCGATTACCACGAGTTCGATCGTTACCGTGTTGGTGGTGGTATTCGGCAGTGCCGTTCCTACCGCAGCTATCGTCCTTCCTATTTACCGACGAAGAGACTCGCGGCTGTTGGCCCAGGGGAACTTCTAAAGGCCCCGCTAACCCGGACCGTTCGAACGAGTCTTCGAAGCTGGCTAACGGCACCGGGATACTTTCGAGCGGGGCTGAGAGCACCGTTGACCAAAGGGAAGGAGAGAGAAGAAGTAGAAGAAGCTGGAGCACGAGCAGGAGTAGAAAGAGTACTAGAAATACGCTTAGCTCGTTTACTTTCGGTGGCGAGGCCGGTGGCGAGGTCGGTGGCGAGCTCGGCGGCAGCGGAAGGACGCAGCTTAGCCGCGGGAGAAGAAGCGGGCTTAGGCCTTGGTGGCAGCGATGCGGGGCCCCCTGCAGCAAGGAACACGCGACCCCAGCACGGATTGTCCGCGCGAGTTCGCCACAACTCCTTCCTCTTATCATCATTTGTATCGTTATCGCCTACGTTATCGCCTCGTTTACCTTCTCGCTCCATCGCCGATCCTCGTTTCGATCGGTGGACGGAGGAAAGGAAGGAGGACTCTTTTGGAAGCATCATCGGGGAGTTTCAGCAACGACGAGAACGACGTGGAGAACGCGGGGACATTAGAGTCCCCGATCTCGTGTCCATGCGGCTCGACTCGCCCGGACTCACGGGACCACCCACGACGACGAGAGGAAAGAGGAAGAGGAAGAAGAAGAAGGCGAAGGAGGAGGACGACGAGGAGTCCCGCCTCGTCTATCGTTGTTGCTCTTTCTTTCGTCGGATCACTACCTCTAAACAAGAACGACGTGGCAACGTCTTTACCGTTGAACGCCAACGTCAACGACATTATCGGCATCTGCATCATCGCCGACAACAACAACAGCAACAACAACAACAACAACAACAACAACAACAACAACAACAACAACAACAACAACAACAGCAACAACAACAACAACAACAAC